GTTGGTTGATTGGGTGGGTGAGTGGGTTGATTGGTTGATGGGTAGGTGGGTGGGGTGATTGATTGATCCTCTGAATGCCCAGCCAGACTGTGCCCTTCCCCAGTTTCTTCCACAGCCACCGGAGCCACACTCCCACTCCCTGTCAGCTGTTCAATCTTCCCCTCAGAATCAGACTCCAACAAGGGCATGACAACTGATCCCACAGCCTTATGACACTGCAACCATCATAAATATGAACCCGTTGCCAAGCGTCTGAATTTTGATCTCGTGACTGGGGGAGGGGTGCTTCAGCAGTCATAAGTGTGGAAACGGTCATAGGTCACTTTTTTCAATGCCGTACAAACTTTGAAAGGTTACTAAGCAAACTGTTAAGGACTAACCTATAGTTATTTTTTTTAATGGTGTTTGTGAGGAAATACAAGTAGTCCTCAACTTATGACCACAATTGAGCCCTACATTTATGTTGTTATGTGAGACCTTTGTGAAGTGAGTTTTTGCCCCGTTTTACAACTTTTCTTGCCACTGTTGTTAAGCAAATCGCTTCAGTTGTTAAATTAGCAACATGGTTGTTAAATGAATCTGGCTTCCGCATCGACTTTGCTTGTCAGAAGTTTGAAAAAAGGGATGGAAGGGGGGGCATGTGACCCTGGGACACTGTGCCTGTCATAAATGCGAGTCAATTATCAAGCCTCCCGAGTATAAATCACATGGCCGTGGGGATGCTTCGAAGGTTGCAAAGGTAGAAAATGGTCATTAAGTCACTTTTTTTCAGCGCCGTTGTAACTTCAAATGGTCACTAAACGAATTGTTGTAAGTCGAGGCCTGTAAGTGGGCTTTTGCGTGTGTCTGTTTGTGTACGTGAAATGAACATTGTCTGAAACAAATGCGCATGATCTTGACACAAACTTTCTCTCACAGGAGATGGAGTGATTTGTGAAAAACAGCTTCAGCCTCTTGAGATTGTAGGTGGAGGGAAAATGGCTGCTCTGCATTGGGATCAGGTAAGGCAAGGTTTGATGACCCAGGGCATGACACAAAAATAACCAAGGCACAAAAATAGAAGAAAGTCCCTTTAATGTCTCCAGCTTGGCCCCAATGTCCAATTATCCTCGGCTGGATATCAAACTCTTAAAGAAAACAGTTTACAGAGGTAGTAAATGCAGTCCACACCCAAAGTAAAGTTAATTCAAAATAAAAAATCCAACACCACCACACTGAAGGAATTACTACTGCAGGCAAGGATGATTAATTGCAGACTTCTACCAGATAATGCAGCAACTGCAGTTGGGAGGAAGCCAAAACACAGATAAGCTCCGACAAGAATACACACTTTGCTTCCAGTACCTTTACCATGCACAGTTTGTCCTTTTTAAACAGTCCTCCCAGCTGCAGCCCATGAAGGGGATCAGAGCCCCTTCCTCCCCCATAGACCATGCCACTCACATTTCTCTCTTATCCACTCCTCCCTGCGTGCCCTAGGATGAAAAGGGGATCTGGGTCTTCCTCTGAATGCCCATCCAGCCTGTGCCCTTCCCCAGTTTTCTCCACAGCCACCGGAGCTCGCTCTCTCCCCTTCTCTCTCTCTCTCTCTCTCTGACATATACACACATATTCTCATTCTCACTTTCTCATTTCTGACAAATAGAATAGAATAGAATACAGTAACAGAGTTGGAAGGAATCTTAGAGCTCTTCTAGATCAGTGGTGGCTAACCTTTTGGGGATCCTGTGCCAAAAATTGTGTGCGCGCTTGCACGCTCATGCTCGCATGCCAGCACCCAGAAGGCAATGCGCAGTCCTCTATTCCTCCTATGCATGTGTGCGCAATCTCCACCTCCCACCGCCCCCCACTGCCCCCTTACCTGCACTGCGCCTCACTGCTGATTTTCAGCCACTTTGAGGCCTTTTTTGGACTTCCAGAGGCTTGAGGAAGGCTTCTGCAGGCTTTTCAGGCTGAAAACTAGGCCCGTTTCATCACTTCCGGTATATCTAGAAAAACAGGAAGTGATGAAACAGGCCTAATTTTTGTCCTGAAAAGCCTGCAGAAGCTTTCCTCAAGCCTCTGGGAGTCCGAAAAAAGCCTCAAACTGGCCGAAAATCAGCTGTGAGGTGCGCGCATGCGCAGTGAGGTAAGCTTGCCTGCAGCTCACGTACTGGCACAAATAGCTCTGCCTGCTACCTGTGGCATGCGTGCCATAAGTTCGTCATCATGGTTCTAGATATTCACCAGTAATACTGTTATAAATGTAATAAATAAATAATATTGGTCATTCGGGGTACGATCCATGTTGTTTTGTAGGCAGAGAGTAGAAACCTGTAAATGATCTGTGAGCAAGGAAGTTTTTTCTCCTTTTTTTAGAGGCTCTTCACCTTAGAGGACATGGCTGTGCATTTCACCGAGGAAGAATGGGCGCTGCTGGAGCCTGACCAGAAAGCTCTGCACCGAGAGGTCATGGAGGAGATCAATGGGATTTTGGCCACTCTTGGTAAGGCTCTTTTTTTTCCCCTAGGAATCAATGCCCACAGCTATTGTAGGATTTTAAAATACATTTGCAGGTTTTCAAGTCCTCACGTTCTTCTCATTGCGTCTGTTGAAGTTTTTTAGTTTTTCAGTTTGTCTGTTGAAGTTTTTCACCCGCAGGACCTGTTGTTAAAAAATTGGAATCCCACCCCTGCTTTACAGCTCTCTCTAAGCACTTTACAGCCTCTTGCCCCCGACAATCTGGGTCCTAATTTTACCCCACCTAGGATGGATGGAAGGCTGAGTCAACCCTGAGCCAGTCAGTTCTGAGGCAGACAGTAGCTGAACACATATTCCCCAATATCGTCCTTAGGCACTGTTTTCACCCTCACGTTTTAGCAATAGACTTATAGACCGTTTTACAGCGCTTTAAAACAGGGGTGGGATTCTAACGGTTCAGACAGGTTCTATAGAACCGGTTGTTAGGATTCTACGCAGTTCGAAGAACCAGCCAATCGTGCCCCTGGCTGGCCCCGCCCCTCCCCACCAGTCAGTCCTTGTCACGCATGCCTGACATCTCTGACTGCGTTCTCCTTAAGTTATTTCTTTTTTTTTCCTTCCCGACATCAGCTGTTCTGATGATCAGCTATGCCAAGATCCCTCTTGCTGTCTTACTGCTTCGTCCAGGAGGTTTCCCCAAGGCCCAGGAGGCAAAAAGGGGTGTGCGGTTGCTGGCTTCCCCACATTCCTTCCTGGGTCCCAGGGAAGCCTTCTTGGAACAAACCCCCCCCCCCCCAGGAGGCTTTCCTGAGGCCCACATCCAAAAACAGAGCATGGGGGGGGGTGCTATATGTGTCATATTCTGGCGTCCTCCCAACTGTGTGTGTGTTTCATTATCTTTTGAAGTTTGCAATACCTTATCCTGCCTGTGTGGTTTGTGTTGGTTTTTATTTATAATTTATACGTACTTTGGTTTCGGACTGAATTTCTTTCCTTTAAAAACTGTTCTTGGGAGAGTTTTTTCTCCAGTCGATGATAACTGGACACTGGGGGCCAAGCTGGAGGAATTAAAGGGACTTTACCTACTTTTGTGACTTTGTTGCTTTTGTGCCATGCCCCTTTGGGTCATCACACCATGGTCGTTTTTTTGGAGGCAATTGGCCTTTCTTGTTTTTTCTATTTAAGACCTACCCCACTATCCTGTCAGAGCTGAAGAAGCTTCTTGGATGAGAAGCAAAACATCTTCAAAAGAAAAAAACAAGGAAGTCCAGTTGCCTCCAGAAAAAAAACACTTTTGGGATATGCTCTACTTTAATAATAATTCAGGAGTCTTTTTTTTTTTTTTTGCAAATTAACTTAAGTGTGACAGATGATAATTGCTATTTGTACAGAAGTATTTTTAGTTCCTCTTATTACTACAATTTCTTACCTAAAATAGTGATTTGGGAGGTGGCAATTTCCAAATTTAGATCCTTACCCAATTTTTTTTATTCTTTATCTCTTAAGGTGACGAGTGGAGAATCATGGATAAAAGAAAACCAAGTACAAACCCAAGATTTCACCAAGAAAGGAAGCCGTACGAATGCTCAGAGTGTGGAAAGGCCTTCAGGACGGAGACAAATCTTACCACGCACAAAACAACACACATAGCTGACAACCGGCACAAATGCTTGGAATGCAGAAAGACTTTCACCCAAAGTGCACAACTGAGCAGGCATCAAAACACTCACATGGGGGAAAAACCATATAAATACCCGGATTGTGGGAAAAGCTTCATTTGGAAGACAAATTTAGAGAGGCACCAGAGGACCCACATGGGGGAAAAGCCCTTTAAATGCTTGGAATGTGGGAAAAGGTTCGTCGAGAGTTCGGCCCTGATTACGCACCAAATGATTCATATGGAGGAGAAACCGTACAAATGTTTGGAATGTGGGAAGTGCTTCATGTCGAATACGCACCTGAATGTCCATCAGAGAATCCACACAGGGGACAAACCATACACATGTTTAGAATGTGGAAGGAGCTTCAGCGAGAGCAGCAATATCGCTTCCCATCGCAGGACACATAGTGGGGAGAAACCGTCCAAATGTTTGGAATGCGGAAAGTGTTTCAGTTCAGAGAGACACCTCGGTGTCCATCAAAGAACCCACACAGGCGAGAAACCCTACCAATGTGCGGAGTGCAGCAAATGTTTTACTCGCAGTTCTGACCTTACCAAACACCGAAAAATTCACACGGGGGAGAAGCCGCCTGCGTGCCCCACGTGTAGAAAGTGTTTCACTTGCAGTTCGGATCTCCTGAAGCACAAAAAGACTCACACCGTCGAGAAGCCTCATAAGTGCTCCGAGTGCGGTATAGGCTTTGCTCGTAGCTCGGACCTAATCAAGCATAAAAAAATCCACACGGGAGAGAAGCCCCATCAGTGTTTGGAATGTGGGAAGGGCTTCATCACGAGGACCAAACTGAGCCTGCACAAGCGAAACCACACAGGGGAGAGGCCGTTTCCCTGCCTGGAGTGCGGCAAATGTTTTATTCAAGTCGCTCAGCTAAACCGGCATCAAAAAACTCACACAGGAGAGAGGCCATACAAATGCTTAGAATGCGGCCAAAGCTTTGTGCAGAGTTCTTCTCTTACCACCCACCAGATCACTCACACGGGGGAGAAACCCTTCAAATGCTCGGCGTGTGAAAAGTGCTTCAGTTCGAGCACCCACTTACGGAGGCACGAAAGGACACACTCGGGAGAAAAGCCACATCGGTGCTCGGACTGTGGCAAGTGCTACAGCGAGCAGGCTGAACTAAGCCGGCATCAGAGATCACACAGCGGGAAGAAGCCGTATCAATGCCTGGAATGCGGGAAAAGCTTCACACAGAGTTCTTCTCTGATTACCCATCAGATCACTCACACGGGAGAGAGACCCTATAAGTGTCTGGAATGCACGAAGTGTTTCAATTCAAACACACACTTGCGCAGGCACCAACGAACCCATACGGGGGAAAGGCCCTACAAATGCGCAGAATGCGGAAAGTGCTTCGCTTCCAACTCCCACCTCTGTCGCCACGAGCGAACCCACACCAGGGAGAGACCGTTCAAATGCCCGAAGTGCGGGAAGAGTTTCAATGTGAGCAGCAACCTCACTTCTCACCAGAGGATTCACACGGGCGAGAGGCGCTACAAATGCGCGGAGTGCGGGAAGGGCTTCCTTCGCAGCTCTCACCTGATCATACACGAGAGGATTCACCGGGGAGAGAAGCCATATAAATGCTCAGAGTGCGGGAAGTGCTTCATCACGAAGATCAACCTCAGCACCCATGAAAAAAATCACACGGGGGAGAAATCGTACAAATGCCTGGAGTGTGGGAAGTGTTTCAATTGGAATGCCCACCTCAGTACCCACCAGAGAACTCACACGGGAGAGAGGCCTTACATGTGCTCGGTGTGCGGGAAAAGTTTCAGCGTGAGCAGTTCCCTCGTGACCCATCAGAGAATTCACACCGGGGAGAAGCCGTACAAGTGTTTGGAATGTGGCAAGTGCTTCACTTCAAACACACACCTTCGCAGGCATGAAAGAACTCACATCAAAGAGCGGCCCGGTGCATGCTGATAAGTGGGGTAAGAGGATAAACGATAATGTTCAGGAATCACGAAATTCCTACCAGGAATATAGAAAAGGCTCGACTCTCCAATGGCTGTTTTAAAACTTCACATGGTGGTACTGCCTAAAAAAAGATCAAGTCTCTTTCAAATTAAGCTCAAAGCTATGGTTTTCCCTGCAGTAATGTCTGGCTGTGCGGGTTGGATGGTAAGGAAAGCTGAGTGCCAAAGATTTGACGCTTTCAAATTGTGGCATTGGAGAAGACTCTTGGACTACAAGGAGATCAAATCGGTTGCTGTTGAAGGAAATCAACCCTGGTTGTTATTTGGAAGGACAGATACTGAAGCCGAAGCTCAAATACTTTGGCCGCTAAATGAGAAGAGAGGACTTATAAATGAGAAGAGTGGGAAAGTGACATTAGGAAAGACTGAAGACCAAAGAAGTAAAGGACAGCTGAGGATGAGATAGTTTGATAGTGTCATAAGGAAAGAAATCAAAGAACAGAGAGCTCAGTGCTATGACATTTTAGCAGATTGCAGAATGGTGTGAATATACAATGTCTTTGTTTTTGGCCTTTTGACAGTGAACCACACAATAACATGGTCATTTGCAAGCTCGTTCAGCGTCGCCTGGAAAACCGACACGCTATGCGACCTCATAAAGATAATCCCAAAGGTGCTTTTTTGAGGAGACAACTGGACTTTCTGGTTTTTCTTTGAAGACCTTTCGCTTCTCATCCAAGAAGCTTTTTCGGCTCTGACTGGGTGGTGGGGAATGGAAAGATTTATATACCTTGCAAACAGCTGGTCATTTGCATCCTTTTAGAGGGTCCTTGAGGCCACTTGGAGGTTTATCTGTGTCCTCAGGGTTTACTTTAGTTTACTTTATTGTCATTGCACCTTGTACAACAAAATCAAACACCATCTTCAGTGCGCATCATGACCATGAAAAAAAAACCACGAACACACATCCTTCACACTCCACACATTCAACTGAAAACCCCCATCACCGCACTATACAGTAGAAATAAAAAGACATACTGCCCTGGGATAGAAGCTGTTTTTCACCTGAGTAGTTGCAAATGGGCGGAGTGGAGCAGAGGTGATATTCAGCAGGTTCTGACCAGTTCCGGAGAACCGGTAGCGGATATTTTGAGTAGTTCGGAGAACTGGCAAATACCACCTCTGATTGGAGATTTTACAGTATCCTTCCCCTGCCACACCCACCAAGCCGTGCCCACCAAACCACGCCCACAGAACCAGTAGTAAAAAAAAATTGAATCCCGCCACTGGCATGGAGCCTTCTTGGAACTGTTGGAAGGACTGTGTTGTAGACCGGAGATAGATGATGATGTATTCCCTTTCCCCCTTTGTTAAGGGAGAGCTGTTCATTTTCAATATAAATGGCCTCTTCTAAATATGGACTTCATAAGATAGGTTGAAAACGATCATGTACCTGTCATATTCATCAACCTCCAAGGGAGGCGTCCTTCATACTCGTTATATTAGTGAATCATTTGATGTAACTGCAAAACAGGAAATTCTAATCGTAGACTATCGATAGAATGATTTATGAACTGTGAAAGGCATACTAGGTCTACTGCACTGTGCTTTATTTCAGCCCTATTTTAAGTATATTGTCCAGTTGTTGGAAATGCATCTCAAACAATGTGGAATACGAGAGGTCCTCTGGTGTTTTCTGATTGTTTTCCTGCAGATGTTTCATTATCCAAACAAGATAACGTCATCATCATAGGTGGGTATTCAGCAGGTTCTGACCAGTTCTGGAGAACCGGTTGTGGAAATTTTGAGTAGTTCGGAGAATTGGCAAATATCACCTCTGATTGGCCCCATCCCCATCTAATCTCTGCCTCCCATTGAGTCCCAGCTGATCGGCTGGGTCGTTGGTTGCCCTGCACAGGAGAACGTAGCTGGAAAGCAGATTAATAGGCTGGTGAGGGAATGGGGATTTTACAGTTTTCTTCCCCTGCCACGCCCACCAAGCCATGCCCACAGAACCGGTAGTAAAAATATTTGAATCCCACCACTGGTCATTTAGAATTTAGAATATCTTTATGGTCATTGCATTCCACGAATACAATGAAATTTGAAAGCTTACTCCAGCACAGTGCCCCAAACACCACATCACAATCACACTACAGAGTATTTAAAAATTAAAATAATTTAAAAAATAATAATAATTAAAAACCTAGTCTAAAACCTATCTAAAACATTTAGTAAGTTAAATAGTTTTAAAATGTCACTATATACGTAAGACTAAATCACAAATGACAAATGCACTGTTTGTTTCAAGACAATTACTGCCTTGGAAAAGACACTGTTTCGCAATCTATTAGTCCTCATTTTAAGACACCTATAACGTCTCCCTGATGGTAAGAGTTCAAAGTATGAATGACCAGGATGAGAACGGTCTGTGGAGATTTTTAGTGTTCTAGAGAGGAGTCTGGTCTTCGCAATCTCTTCCAAAGAAGAAAGAGAGCAACCAATGGTTATTATTATTATTTTTGTGCTGTGTTTATAACTCTCTGAAGCATCTTCTTATCCACTACAGAGCATCCAGCATACCACACCATTACAGGGTATGCCAAAATGCTCTCAATGATAGAACGGTAAAAAGTAATCAGCAACTTCTTACCCATATAACGTGGATGCACAACATCGCATTCAGAGGTGGAGAGTAGAGTTTAGTAGGAGATCTGGACATTGTTCTGACCCAAACCTTGTTCCAAGTGAACAAACAAATAGAGAGATAAAAGCAAAACCTTTTAATGCCTCTCTGTAAAATTTCGTTAATTCATGGTTAAAAGGCTATTAAAACTAATTGTCTCTGATAAGAACGAGCCTTGCCAAAGTTGTGCAAGGCTGCCAAAAGCACTAGATTAAGTTGCCAAGAAATATTCCAAACAAAAATTCAAATACAGACCAAGATAGTCCGAAGTTCCACAAGGCTTGAAGTGCAAGAACTTATTTGCTTCCTGCAAAGAACTCGTTTCTCAACTGGCTTTTATCTCTCAAGGGAGGGGCCATTACCTTGCAGCCTTACTCCCGAGTCGCCCATGCTGCTGCAGCTGCTCTTTCCTACAAGCAGCTCTACACGGATGCGCACTGGGCACAGGCTCCTCGGGAACCTCTTCATCACTGCTGCCAGCCTCCACAATCTCTGAGGCAGAACTCTACTCCCTGGCGGTCCTGGCTCCATCTGTGCACCACACGCAGGTTCCTCATCTGAGTCCTCGCTCTCCCAAACCTCAGCCGTCCGCACCTACTGCTGGCGAACCACAACAGACGTGTAGTTCTCTTTAAGAAAGAAAACAAAAGGACCTTAGCATGTTCCCTCTTCCCAGAACACCTTAGCTGAAGCGTAGCATCTGATGGACCCAAACGTCACGTCATCTAAGTAGCCCTTGGCTTACGACCCAGTTGGATAGCCTTGATTGATGTTACAACAGACCTCCTGAAAGGTATTGAAGATCTGCTTCTAAAGGTCCAACAGCTGTGCCTCCCTGCCTCCCCAACCAGGGGTGGGCTTCAAAAATTTTAGCAATGGGTTCTCTGCCCGGTTGCTGATAGGCGTGGCCATGGTGGGCGTGGCCTAGTCAGCCTCCTGCACCATGGTGGGAAGGGGGGCATTTTTGCCCTGCCCGGGCTCTCGAGGCTTTTCTCGACTCTCCAGGAGGGTGAAAATGGCCTCCCCGGGCTCCGGAGACTCTCGGGAAGCCGGAAACGGGCCTGTTTCTGGCCTTCCTTCCCGAATTTCTGCGAGGCCTGTTTTTTCACCCTCCCCAAGCCTCCATGCATACCCTGCACTTACCTGCATCCGAAAGAGGCCGCAAGGGGGACTCCTGGGGGGGGTGGGCAAGGTGGGCGGGGCAGGTGGGGTGGGTGGGGCCAGCCAGGAGGGATTTGGGGGTTCTCCGAACTGCACGGGATCTTAGCTAGGGCCTCTCCAGCAGCCCACCTCTGCCCCTAAACCACCACCCCCCAGCGATCCCAGGATGGGATTTTGAACGTTTCCAACCAGGTTAAATTTATGGTCTCTTGCAGCATCCTGACCATGATTTTTGCCAAACATCAGCGTTTGCCTCCAGTTTGGGGCAAAATGGGGCCCGTTTGCTTAAATGGCCGTGGCATTTGCTTAAACAACAACAAAAAAGAGATCAAATTGGCTTTAGTCACATGATGATTTGCTTTACGGCCGTCGCGACTTACAAATGTCCTGGGCAGGCTCCATTATAGTCGTAAGTTGAGGATTTGTATATCACATACATAAAAGCAGCTCCTGTCTAACAAGCTCAGCATAGGATTTTAATAGAGGTGTTGAAATGATTTTTGTACTCAATTGTTGGAAAAAAAAATATCCATCTGGTTCGGTTCCAAGCTGAGAGAAAGACACTGGAAACGTGGAGGCTGATTGGAAAGATGGTTTAATGGTGAAGTAGAACCACGTGGGTAATTCTGGTGCAGCTGAACACATGGAGTTGAGAATGTGTGCAGGGGTATTTATATCTTCTCTTGGGCTCTGCATTAGAGCTTCCTGTTCCTGGGCAAGAACGTGTACTCTATTGGTTGTTGTCAGACTCCCATGGGGCCATGTACCAGATCAAGTACATGCAGTTTGTCTGAGCTAAGCTTGGTTGAAGTTTGGCCGATGCAATGACTTTAGGAGATTACACAATGTGGTGAGCTGGATGGTAGAAAGGCTAATCCTATTATGTCCTGAGGAGCCATATCTTAATCCAATCATCCTGGAGCTGGAGGTCTTTTGTTCTGAAGATAGGCTGCACCAAACATCTGCTAGGGCTATTAGGAAAGACTTAGGGACTGCTTTTTGTTTGCAAGAGCATGTTTCTCTATTTCTCCTTTAGGGAAATATAAAATTTGGCCTTTTTTAATCTTTCCCCAAACATTTCATTCTTCTAGGGGGTGGGTGGCTTCCCACAGAGTTAAATTCGGAATTAATTTACGCTAATAAAATTTTAAGGATCCGTATGTCAAGCCTGAAATTGATACATATGTAGCCATTTTAGTTAGGCGTAGTATATATTATTTTTCTTACTTTCTCTGTGGCAGTCATGGGGGGAAGGGTTTCGGGCTTGCCACATTCCTAAGGGGGGAGGGGTGGGGATAGAGTTGTTTAGACTAAGTAGTTCTTCCCGTGGGAAAACGAGCTGTCCATGCTTAGGCCTCTGGAGGTGGAGATTTATGAAGTCAAGCAACGTTGAATTACTTCTATTGGAGAATGTTACTTTTGGGGGGTTGTTTCTAACTTCGAATATTGTGGGGTAATTCCGGGTTGGGTCAGATCCAGAATTACCATGGACTCTGCCAATTTGATGCTTTCCTAAATAAAAGAAATTGGTCTTGGAAGATGGACTTTGTTCTTTTCTTTTTAAATGGATTTCATCACTTGGAAACCTGATCCCATATTTGGGAGTTGACCAGCTGCTCAAGAGGAAGGCCAGCAAAAATATTCAAAAAAAACCTTCAAAAAGGAAAAATTAAGGCTCATCTCACTGAGCATCCATGGGCCCAAGATAATGAAACCAGAAATCTCCAAGGAAGGATCGCCTCATTCTATTTTTGCTTCACAGCGGCTCGGATGTCAGCCACACAATTTTTAGGTTCCAGAGATGGCACCTCACCATCAAGATGAATAGATATTGATTCACAGATTTTAGTCTGATTCTGCGGGGGCAGAAAACAATGGTACCATATTCACCTGATT